GACACAGCGGGAAGATATTACGATTATATCCGATCGACATGCGGGGATTAGGAATGCTGTTGGTGGTTTTCCGGACGAGTGGGGATGGAGATTGCGATGGTGTATTCGACACTGGCTCGCCAATTTCCAGCACAAATTTGGGAAGAAGAAAGACATCAAAAATCAACTTTGGAATGCAGGTACTAATGTTTATCTTATGCGATTTAAGTTTGTGTTTATTAAGCTGATGTTATTCATCATGTATTGACCAGTTTCGATTTTGTTCACCTTTCAGCGGTTGCACATCAACCAAAAAAGTACAAGCAGAAGATGAAAACGATCCGTCAGACCCACCGAGCTGGAGCAGTATGGGCTGAAGGTCAAGAGTTGCCCATGTGGACGTTCCATATGGACAACGGGGCCAGTTGGGGCATTGCAACTACCAACCATGGTGAAAGTATAAATAATGTGTACAAGGGTCTTCGAGCGATGCCTATTTCTGTCATCGTGGAGATGTCTTACTGGAAGGTCAACGAGTGGCGAGTTGCTCAGCTACAGCAAGCTATAGGGAGGGAGTTGCAAGGTCATTCAATAGCACATGATGTATTCGTTCAAATGCAGAAGAACGATGAAAAATCAAGTAAGCATAAGGTTGTTCTTTTTAACCGCAGTGAAGGAATATTCGCTGTTGAAACAAGTATATGGGGTGGAGGGAGACGTGGTCACAATCGTCAAACGGTTAAATTGCACTACGAATTAGGGAGTGTTCTTGTCAAAAGTATCAGAACGAAAGGATACCCTGTTCACATGCAATGGCGGTTGCTAAGTCAATAACCATGAACAGAAACAGCCTGGTCAGTCCTTACTACACTGAACAAGCGATACGGAACTCATGTAATGCAGCTTTGAGCCCCATGCCAGATGAAGCGTATTGGCCTATATACGCTGGAAAGTTGATTATCCCACCGTTGCACCTAAAACGCAAGAAATGGCGCAACATTCTCAAACCGGTCCTCGCTATATAGGGCTCCAACCTTGGATGCCAAGCGGGCAAGTTATTGGTCCCTTTATGAACCACGGGAACAAGAGATTCCTAAAATAAATAGGAAAAACATCAATTTATTAGATTAAATAAAGTAAAATAAAACATTAGAAAATAATAAAATAAAGCAAGAATACTCATCAAATTACCGGATTGTTATCCCAAATAGCACGGGAGCGATGAGCTTCTTGATCGTTTAAGAGACTCGCATCCCTTGGGCCATAATGGATATACAATCGAGGATCGTATATCTCGGCACCCATCTATAAAAAACTAATGAAATCAGAGATTGTTTTGATAAAAAAAAACACAAAATCAAATTGTTTCAATTAAAAAAAAATCATAAACCAAAAACCTACACGAAGAGCCTCTTCGTCCATTTTTTGGCAGAAGCCGGACAGAGGTTCGACGGGTTTAGGTTTGTAAGGGACGGGAACTTAGCGGGACGGGGGCTTTAGGGTCAAACTCTAGTAATTCTTTCTGATGTGGAAGATCGAACTTAGCCGCAACCACAGAGCATACTTAGAACGAGACTAGAGCGGATAAATTGAGGGAGAAAGAAGTGAAATGGTTGTGGTGTGAGTTGAAAGTGAAGGGGGAAGGGTTATTTATAGTTGGGGGAAGGGGGGAAGGGATCTGCCGAGAATTTAATTCTCTCGGTGTTCACCGCCTCTGTCAGAAACGGTGAAGGCACCGCGTTTCTCGAGGACGGTGAAGGTGCGCGGATCGAGCGACGTGGCTCAGCGTGAGGCGTCGGATCTGGAAAGAAAACCACGATCCGCGCCTCACCGCATCCAACGGCCACGGTGAACGCGCCAGCGGCGCGGATCGCTGACGCAAACAAACACGGGGTATTCACCGTGTTTGTCTAACGCGGTGAATACCCCGCGTGGTCCACATCAGCGATCCGCGTCTTTTCACCATTTTTTATCAAAACGGTGATGCATTCACCGTTTCTATTTAAAACGGTGATGTCTTCACCATTTTAAACTTAGACGGTGAATACGTCACCGTTTTTTTTTAAACGGTGAAATACTCACCGTCTTTGACAAACGCGGTGATATTATTCACTGCCTTTGTCAAAAACGATGATGCTCAAACATGTGTACTTTTGGAAATTTTTTTATAACTTATGCATTTTGGGAATTTTTTTTAACAACTAGTGTACTTTGGGATTTTTCCCTCAAATTGCGGGGGCATGTTCTTCAAGATTAGCGTGTGTTGGTCAAGATTGATGTTGTTCTTCGCACCATCATCTTGCGGGGGCGTGTTAGAGATAGATTAGGAATAATCTTATATTTCCTTGTCCTTATAGTATAGTTCTTAGTATTACCATGTCCTTCTAGTATTGTGGTTCTCTTACTTATTGTCCAAGTCTTGTGATCTATATAAACCCCTTTGTGGTTTCATAATAATACAAGTTACTATTCCTAAAACTCCTATAGTTTTGACCATGTTGAATTAGGTTGTGTTTATTTGAATTTTATTATATTATCATAGAAACTAATATTAGAAATATATCTACATAAAGTGACATTTTTTAACGAATTAAATAGAAAGTGGCCCGAGTTTTAAAACATAAGCCACAATGTGGATATATTCTTCATGAAAGACAAAGTATTGCAGTCAATCTTTATGTCAGCATATATCATTGAGTAAATGCATGCTAAACAGTCAGATGACCAATAAGTTCTACCAATCAATCTTCTGACTTAGATCATTCGGAAATGCATATATCGAACTTCATGAAGCTAAGTTTCAGTTTACTTGAAGTTATGAAAAATGATGGCAAGATATGCAAAATAATGATTATACAAAGCATAGTCCTCTACCCATGACAATAATAATATCTTTTCATTATCAGGATTCGACAACTAATGTTCATACTTCTACTTCATATAGGAAATGCCCTTGGACCAATTATGCTATGTTCTAAAAAGCAAGATACTGAATAGGGGCCATTGATTAAAAACCTGCAATCTAGCAAGACCGTGCTAATATAGATTGGCATTTCCCAGCTGTAGAAGACCACCAATCCAACAACATTGAGTTTCCTCACTGACTTCTATTATTTCTATCCTCTTTGATATGTATCCTGACATAGTACGCAAAATCAATTTTCTCGGCAAGTAAGGCGTCTTGGTCTCTTGGAAGCTAATACATTACACAACTGTATTGTAAATGTTCAAGCCTTTGGTAATCCAAAATCTGCAAACCGAAAGCAATCAAGGGTTTAGTATATTGGATAAGGTCAGCAAAATAGGAACGGTTTGACAACATTTGGTGAGATAGAATAAAAGAATTAGAAAAATAGGAAATAAATTAAACTTACGGTTCTGGATCATTACAAAGGGTGACATGTTCGATGAACAATATTGCCGACACCGGGTTCCACTCGCGTAACAAAATGCACACCCGACTCAATCTCATCAATTAGAAAAGCATGTAACACCCACTCCCAAAACAAAACTCGTCAACACCAAGTCCAACTCGCTAAAGAATATCCACACCCGACTCGTAAATTAAAACGTGTAGAATTCATTGCCGACGCAAAACTCATCAACATCGCAATTTGACAACATTTGGGAAGATAGAATAAAAGAATTAGAAAAATAAAAAAAAACTAAACTTATGATTAGTTACAAAAGGGTCACTCCTTGAATGTTTTAGATGAACAATGATTACAAAAGGGTCACTTCTTGGATATGACTCTAAGTCATAGTGATTTTGTTGCTTGTTCTTTTAAAGAGTTAATATCTAATTTTAGATAGTAGCATAACATGGTCCATTTTTTTTAATTCCGAAATTTTGGTAAGACGATTACATCCGTCTCAAGATACAGTGCATAACAATGGGTTATGCACCCATCACTAACTAAATCTAGACTCTTCATTCAGAAAATCCAGATCTAAGGATGGAGAATTAAATGTATTTTTATTTTTCCCTTGTTTTCTTAATCGGCTCATATCTTCTTCGTTTTAACTCGAATTTCATTTTTTTTACACAGATGGAACGAGTTCGTTGTGCTCTACAAAATGATATCAATTTTCAATATTCTATTAGAAAAAAATCTGTGTCTCTCGGATACCAACTGCATACCATATTGTATCTTCTTCGTTTTTAATTTGTTTTTGAAAAATTTTAAACACAAGGAATGAGTTCTTCATGATTTATTGGATCTATAATTTTGTGGCTGAACAAAATATAGGACAAAAAAATACCACACAATACCACCCTGGTACGAGGTGGTATTTTGTAGTACACAATGTTAAAAGTCGTAAATGACAGTTAATATACCTCTACTATCATGTATTCAGTCATCCTACAGTATTGATTTCTTCATACCATAGGTATGCTCTTATTTCAATACCAGTCAATACCATATGGTATAGACTGGTAAAAAATGGCTCAATTTTTTTTTGTTAAAAAATATATCAAAGTGAATATCATTTTGAAAAACACAATTAATCTGATCTAACTGTGCAAAAAAATTAAATTTCGACTTAAAACAAGTGAGAAATCGTTCTTTAAAGATTAAGGGGGGAAAATTAAAGACTTTTCAGGAGAGAGGAGAGCTGATGTGATGGATTCTGATTGGAGTATGAATAGTTATTGACCGCAAGGTTATTGACTGGATACGCTCCCAAGAGAGCGGATCAGGTCAATAACCTTATGATGATTGGTGAGTAACATGTCCACTTCAGCATAACATCAACATCTCTCTCTCTCTCTCTCTCTCTTATGGAAAGTCTTTTATCTTTTCCCCTTTAAACTTAACGGACGATTTCTCTCACGTTTTAAGTAGAAATTTAAATTTTTTGGCACAGACTAATCAAATTAATTGTGCTCTTTAAAATTATATCCAGTTTTAAGGTGGGAATCGGTCGGTAAACGGTTACCGTTTACCGAATTTACCGGTTTCGGTATACCGACGGTGTTCAAACTGTTTACCGTTTACCGATACCAGTTTGTAACCGGTTTACCGATTACCGAAATACCGGTAAACGGTTACAAACTGGTTTACCGAATTACCGCAAAGGGCGACGTGGGGCGGTTTTTCGGTTGGGCGCAGCTCCAGTCGACGCTCCAGAGTATCGAGCTTCTCGTTCAGAGACGCCATTTTTGTTTTAGTCGTAGCCTCTGGAGAATCCGGGGATGGAAAAATTAAACACAACCCAGAAAGTTGAAGCAGGAGAAGCGAAGACGGCAGGGGAAGAAGACGAGAAAAAGGTACCGAATTGGAGGAGGAAATCGAAGAGGCGACGGATGTTGAGGGAGATGTGAGAGATAAACTCGCGATTCTCCCAATCGGCTTGGACAGCGATCCCTACGTTGACCGCATTTGAAATCCCTCCAGCTCTCGCCATTCTTTCTTCCAGCAAATGCGCCCCACTATTCTTCTTCTTCTTCTTGAGATCAAAGACAGGAACGAGACAAAGAAAGGATGAGGGTAAGAACGAGGGAATGTGAATTTCCGATTCTTGTTCTTGTTGTTTTCTCGTTTGTGGAATTGCTGCTGAATTTGGATTTTCCCTTTGTAGTTTCACACTTCTCAGTTCTTGAGCAGAAAGAGGTTTTATGAATGGTAGGCGAAATCGGGAAGACTGGCTTCCTGCTGCACGTTTTGGGGTTCGGTATCGGTATTACCGATTTACCGTCAGTATTTACCGATACCGGTTTCGGTATACCGACCCACCCAATCCGCAGCTCGGCCGCCGATACCGCCGGTAAACGGTTCGGTAAACCGTTTACCGGCGTACCGAATCCCACAACTATCCAGTTTGATATATTTTAGAACAAAAAAAAATGAGTCATTTTTTACCGGTCAAGAAAGCGTACCATGATTGTATGAACATACCAATATGGTATGAAGGTTGAATACATGGTAGTAGGAGTATACTAACTGTCATTTACGACTTTCATCATTGTTTACCACAAGTTACCACCCACATACCATAGTGGTAAAATATGGTAACTTTTGATCTTGTATTTTTTTCACCCAGAAATTTGTAGATCCAGTAGATCATGATAAACTCGTTCCTTCCGAACAAACGTTTTCAAAAACAACTTAAAAACGAAGAAGTTACCATATGGTATGTAGTTGGTAACGGGAAGTATGAAAACAAAATTCTCGAAATTTATTGAAAAATTGATCTCATTTTGTAGAGCACAGCGAACTCTTTCCATTTGTGCAAAAAAACTTGAAATCCGAGTTAGAACAAAGAAGATAAGAGCCGATTAATAAAACTAGAGAAAATAAAATGTCTTTAATTCACAATCCTTAGATCTGGATTTTCTGGACCCACTTAGATCTAAAGGTTTAGATTTAGTTACTCATAGGTTAGTAATCAATTGTTACTGACCGTATCCCAAGCCCATTACATCCAACTTCTTAAAATAATTAGATTAATATTCGGTGAATTTGTTTGGTATGATCGCACACATGGCCAGAATAAGTTAGTTTCATAAATGTTAGACACCTTGGTAGTATATCAAAAAGTAAAATAATAACCACAGGTATTTTTATAAGATAATTATTTTATTAAATATTGATTTCCCAATTCCAACCTACTTTCAATCCTTTGTGCAGTCCTCAGTCCAGCTCGTTGGTAGGCGTTGTAATTGGTGTTGCCTATTTGGTGGCACGAAGAGCCCTTTCATCGTTCCCTTCTTTAGTTGGGTTCGATTTGGTTGCTTGGCGTTTTTTGGCCATTTGAACTCTTTTGTATCTGGCTATTTTTCTCGATAATACGAGCGATCGTTTTGATAAAAAAACCTACTTAAGAATATCAATTAATAAAAATTTCTCAATATTTTGCAAATTATCAATTTTAGACCCACCTCCGAAAAAATATTACCAACATTTTTTTTTTACTTTCCACCTGCTACTAAATACATAAATTGTTCATCCAATCAACCCGTAAAATTCTATGGAAAAATATGTAGTCTACCTATCCTCGAGGGAGAAGCATGGTGAATTCATGTTAAGCGAGTTTGTAAGGAGATGGGCAAACCATAAAGTTATTGTTAGAAGGCCTCAGAACGTATCCACCCGTTGTCAAATCTAACACTTAATGAAGTTGGGTTCACTTGCTTCCGCAACTTCTAATTTATGCAAATAGATTTTGGGTTATGCTTTCACTTCGTTTACTTTTCCCTAACATCGTGTAGATTCCATTTTGCAACTTGTTAGTACTGAAGGTGCAGCTTTGGCAAAACGTCCTGAACATTCTACAAGCATCAAACTAGTATATAATATTTTCTAGCTTATGCATATGGATTCATAGCAAGGTTTTGGGTAATTCTCCTTGAACCTTGGTTTTCCCTCCTTTGTAATTCCCTCAAGTTTGTGCATAAATTGGTTCCAAGTGCATTGACCTTTTTCTTTTATGCTAGTTTATCTTTCCTTATACATGTTGAACTTGAGGCATGGAGGAAGAAGAAAGGAGGGCGACCCTGTAATTTAAATCTGAGGTCTCCAATCTGTAAACCAGCGACACAATCAGTTAGCCACAATCTCATTGTATAGTGATAGCGAATTCAACACCAAAACTTCAACTGCCAACATTCCTAAGCTATTAACTAATCACATTTTATCATGTATTTCTTTTTTTTTTCTTTTGTTTTTTATAATTATGAACTTAGATTAATAAAAGAAGTGTACAGAACACCTCCCACGAGAAATGGAAGAAGGAAGCAGAAACAGTAAGAAAAAGAAACCCTGGTCAACACCGCCAAAGGGGAACAAAAACAATACAAAAAGGGAAAACTAGAAATAAAGTGGATGAAAACAGGAGGGCAACGCAGCACAAGGGAACTGCAATGCACATCAGGGGTAGCCAAGGCATCAGACTCTTCGACAATGATGGAAGAGGAGATTCCCATGTTCTTTGTTTATCCTACCATGCGCAGTCATCCACTCAACGATCGCGCGTAGGATTTTCTTAGTAACCACCAAATGCGAGCAAGCAACCTGCTGAAAAATTCTCTGATTTCTCTCTTTCCACACAAACCAGCAGAAAGCATGAAGGAGACAATAACTGAACCAACCATCAACACCAACATGATCGCGGGTCTCAATATGGTTAATTACTTGTATTATATAATCAGAAGAGAAACCAATCCTAGGAGAGACTGTCGAAAGCTCCCTCATCACGCTCTTTGCAAACGAACAGCTTGTGAAGATATGATTGTTGGTTTCCTCTTCCTTGAGGCAGAGATCACATCTGTTTGCCATATGAATTCCTCTTTTCTTCAGGTTGTCGATGGTAAGGATCTTCTTATGTCATACAAGCCAAAGGAAACCACAAATCTTTGTCGGAATAATACTTCTCCACACAACCTGAGAAGGGAAGTCTTCGACACCATGGAACTGATCCTTAATCTGCAACTTATACATAGAACTCATAAAAAATTTCTTATCAGAGCAAGGGTTCCAGACTACACGGCCAGGACCAATTGACAGTCTATGAGAATTCGCATTCATCTTTTCTAATAGATTTTATATATATATATATATATATCTCAACCCCACCCCGGAGAATAAGAGAAAAAGGAATTTCCCACAAGAAGTTCTTACCTGATCAAGAGACGACATCAGCAAGACTAGCATTAGGAATGGAAGCAGCAGCAGCCCACGGAAATGAAGTTGCCACCAGTTCTCCTGGGATCCAAGTGTCGTGCCACAGCGAAATGCCAATGCCCGAACCTGGCTCCATACAAACCCCTTTCCAGAATATGTCTTCCACCTTGCAAATATTAGCCCAATCGGAGCTATTAAAGCCTTCTTCAAGGCTTCTTGGTCTCCATTTAGAAATAGAGTGATGCTATTTGATTGCGATAATATTTCTCCACCAGCTATCTCTTTCCGTAGCCTATTTCAACAACCACTTACCGAGGAGGGCGTTATTGAAACTTAGAAGATCAACAACCCCTAATCCTCCTCTACTTTTAGGAGCTTTGCAAATGTCCCAGCTAACTAAATGCATCTTATCATTGCTGCCAGCTCCACTCCACAAGAATCTACATTGGATCTTCTCCAAACTGTTAATAATTGTCTTTGGTGCTTTAAGAAGAGAGAAATGTACACCGAGAGACTATTAAGAGTAGAAGTATTGAGAGTCAATCTAGCCCCGAAAGAAAGATGTCTGTTCTTCCAACCTTGAAGCCGGCCCTGATATTTATCCACCACGAGATTCCAAATAGACACATCATTTGGACGGTCCCCTAAAGGCAACCCAAGATACTTCGAGGGATCATTACATCCAAAAATTGCAGCAAAGTAGTGAGGTTCCGGGATGTCCCCAACGATAAACATAATTGACTTATCCAAATTAAATTTCAACCCTGTGATAGATTGGTAGCATACCAGGAGCGCCAATAAATTAATAACCTGATTCACTGAAGCATCGTAGAAGATAAGGGAGTCATCCGCAAAAAGGAGATACGTAACTTCGCCAACTCCCTTAATCTCGTCCATGAAAAACCCCGAGATACCATCTTCATCACGAAGCTTCGAGATGAGAAATGAAAGGACATCCATGACGAGAACGAAAAGACCAGGGGAAAGAGGATCACCCTGGCGAACGCCCTTGTACGAGCGGAAATAACCAAACGGTTATCCATTAACTAAGATAGAAGTCATAGGAGAACACATATCACCCTTAATCCACTGCTGCCATTTAGCCGGGAAACCAACACAATTCATAATATTGAATAGGCAGCCCCAACTAACATTATCGAAAGCCTTTTCGATGTCAAGTTTGAAAATAAGACCTGGTTTTCTGCATTTCTTTCTGCTGTCGATAAGTTCATTTGCGATCAACGCAGCTTCCGATATGTGCCTACCAATAACAGAAGCGTGTTGATTAAGAGAAATCAGCCTGGGCAGGACAACACTCATTCTCTTCATAAGCACTTTGCTAACAATTTTGTGACAACTGCTCATGAGGCAAATCGGGCGAAGATCTTTGACACTTTCGACCACATCAGCCTTCGGGGTAAGGCAAATGAAAGCATGAGTGATATTGTCCGACAAATAACCATTATCGTGGAATTCCTCAAAAGCAAGAGCAGGCAAGCCGGACTTTTATCATGTATTTCAAAGAACTAATATAGAATGATCATAAAAATAAAAAGTTAGCATACAATACCAAGTTGCCAACCTAATAAGTGTATAGTTGTGGCAATTTCCAATTTACCATGATACCTTCCACCGCATCCTACAAAAGGCCCTAGAGACTTCAAATTAAGGATGGCAACCAAACCAATGGCCGCGAATATCCAACCGCCTTCGACCCAGTCAACATGTGGAATTCTCGTTTTGATTGGGTATGAGGCGAGTATAGGTAAAATCCGCAAAAAAATGTTGCTGGGTATGGGGCGGGTATGGTATTAGATTCCCCCGCCCCATACCCATACCCAAACCTCCCCACCAAGGATATTATGTTATATGCATAAAATATAAGGAGTCTATTGTAACTTGTCCCTAAATTGCTGTTGCTAAGGGTCACAGGATCAAAAAGTGACTCATCCCTAAATTGTCCCGACCCATCCCGTCCCATACGCATGCAGTAGAAGGTTTTACTAGGGGTGAAAACTTGACCAGGAAAACCCATTGACCCGTCTCGTTCCTAAGGATCGGGACGGGTCAGTTTGTCTACCGGTTCAAAAGCGACAGGAAGTAAAATGAGAAGCATATGCACTACTGTCAGCTTTCTTTTTCCTGTGAAAATGCCAACTAGACTGATAGTAATCACCCTTTCATTTTCTCCGTCCGAATCTCCCATTCATTTCCAGCAGCAACAAGAAAAGAACATACCACACAAGACAAGACAAAATCCAAAACAACAGCAATTTAATCATATAAAGAATAAAGAGAAGGAGCTGAGTGAGAGGACAAGAAAAGAAAAGAAGAACATAGAAAGAATCAATCAATGAATCGAATTTTATACATGGGAATCGCCACCCCACATCTCCAACAAGTAATTCTGGCACCTACTGCAACAACTGCTATTCACAACCAAATCATGCCCAAACCCACCTCCCACTCTCCTCCTTTTGGTCCCTTGTTCCGCCGCCGGCGACGACGACCTCTTGAGAACGTGCCTGTACTCCAGTGCAATCTGCTCGAACACTTCCACGTCGAACATGTTCATCTTCACCTTGGGGCTCATCCCGTCTCTAACGTAAGCAAACGGCAGCTGGTCCCTCGGGTTGAACGCCTCCAGCTCGTTGAACACAAGGCAAGAGAACAAGTCGCTCCTCGGCCCGTGCCTCCTCAGTATCACAGCACTATCTGGAACATCTGCAAACATAACGATCGAAGTTTGTGTAGCAAATGAGAAGTTAATTTAAGGAAGATAGATGGGGTAGGAATTGTTATGGTTAGGTGTATCCTTTCATAGGTCCTACTGTATATACTGTATGGATGTAAACGTTTACTTGCATTGTTTGCATGGGGTCCAATCCAAACGTACTTCTGAAGGTTGGCCCAGCTTTGTTTGTTAAGGAATATGGTTACACATAACATCAAACCAAAGAAAGGAAGCTGATGCTATGCTTGCTGCAGTGGAAAAAAAAAGTTCCATTTCCCTATTTGAACAGATCATAAGCTCAAAATTCACCAACAACAAAAGAAGAAAACAAGGGAAAAAGAGATTAGGGTTATCTCTACCCGTTATTGCACATGATATATGTATGTCACGTAAAGTCATGACAGCTACTTTCCAACCATACTCTTTATCATTCCACCGTTCTTTTTAGGTCTAGTACTAGTTAGAGATTGAAGAAGAGCGGTAGCGGATTAAGTATTCAACGAATTCATGGATATGAGTGATTCGATTTTTATGAATAATTTTATTATTTTAACCATTATGATTATTCAAGTGAGATGTTTTGTAATGATGGGATCACAGGTAAACTGGAAAGTAAATCCAGTCGAGCCCAATTTCGTTACCATCCGAGTACATCTTGCTTGATTGTAGTTTTGACCATCTAAGCTATTAACTTCAAAGTACAGAAGTGAGAATCAAGATTAATTATTGCTAACATCCTAGCTAGAGTACTCAATTGGCAACTCGACAACAAGTTTAGATGATTTAAACTCAATAAACTAGTACTATAATTTCAGAGCCACTCCAGCCGGGAATAGACAAGTCACAAGTGACAGCCAATGTGGGCACTGTAGTGTCCACTTCTAGAAACCACTTAAAAAATGTGTCAAACAAAGCTAAATCCATAATGTTAAGCAAACAATTCCTTATCCTTCCTAATTATATTTGTAATTATGTGATCTTTCGATTCCTTTTAAACTAAGCTTCGCACATTTCAATCATAGTTTCTTTAAGGTTCAATATACCAGAAGTTTAACACTGACAGTGATGGCACTGTGGCGATTAATCAATTTAACCAATTACCTGATGGATAAGGGAGCTTCTCGGGCGTCCATGGCTGCAGCCCATTCCCACAGTAAGTCTCCATTTGAAGCCTCAGCCCTTCAACATCCCACCACTTCTTCCACCTCGCAGTGGCCATGGCTTCCTCCATCGTATGAACAAAGAACGGATGTCTGGATATGGCCATGTCCACATCCTGAGCCACAACCAATGCATGAATCAACAGTAACGGATCGACCATCAGCTGCATCTTGGCATCAACCCAGATGCTGAATTTCGAGTTCGGAAACAGCCTGTGGACCAAATACTTCGGTATCACCCCGTTCATCGCTGGATTGTTCTCATACAAACCTTCATCACTGTTCACCTTGACAATTCGCCAAACACCTACCCTGCTCTCTGGCGAAGCCCTGGATTTCACCACTCCGTGTTGTTCCAATGCGGCCAACGTCACCTCGTCCACAAACATGAAGAAACACACTGTGTCCATCGTTTTCGAGCCCAGGCTCTTCGGCTGCCGGATTTTGTCGTGATCGTTGAACAACGCGGAGACGACCACTAAGCCGTGGCAACTCTCCATTGCCTTCCGGTCTGGACTAAACAGGGGAAGAGAAGGGTGAATAAAATCAACATTTGGGATCAAACCCAATTTCCGTTGGGTGTCAATTCATCAAACAGGTGAGAGACTAACCAGAATCACTGACTGGGAAATCCTTGAAAAACCCACAAGGAACCTCAATGCCATCATCGGAGTGATTGAAATAAGAAACTCTGTTCTGGGTACTGAAATTCCCACCGAAACTTTGGCTCTTGGCCTTGATATACCTCAGGGCCGGCAACGGCGGTGGCAGAGTCGACAATTCTTGGATCTCCCGCAACACATTCCAGTAATCTAGCCAGAAAACATCAAATTTCAGAACCGATTTGGAGAAACCCCCCAGTTAATAACAATGAGAGCTACGAACGTACCGGAGAAGTGAACAGGGGAAGAGCAGGAATTGCGGTGGGTAGGAATGACGTATTTGTGCTCGCCGTAGGAGGAAGGGTAAGTGAAGAGAGGGGACTGAATTGGGTCGTAAGGGGAAGATCGGAAGAGGCAGCGGGTGGCAGAGAGGGAATTGTAGAAGGCGAGGGAGAGAGAGGTCAGGAGGTAGAGTAGAGAAAAACAGAGGAGCTTTGATTGGAAGAATGGAGGCGGAAGAGAAGAGGCGTGCGATTTTGGCTTCCCCATAAAATTTAAGTTTCGTATGGAAATCCCTTCCATTGGATTTCTTCGCCCTTGGCTTTGATTTTGTTATCGTCCTCGTCCCCCAACCGAACCAACCACAGAGTCCGTCCAAGTCGTGAATTCATGATGGTGATCACGGCCGTCCGGCCGTCCTGCCACAACGCTACGCAAAGTGGCGTTATTATTACTTTCCCCTTTCTATTTTCGTTTTATTGATTGAGAAAAATCAAACAACCAAATATGAAACATGTGGCTTCACAAATTTGAATTTCATAAGTTTTGAATAATTCATTTTAAAATGAATTTTTTTTGTGTTTGTTATTTAAAAGAATTCATTTTCAATTCTAAATTTTGAATTCTACGGAATTGGAATTAGTTATAGTAATTCCTATGAATTGAGATGGAATTTCCAAATGAATTCCACAAATAATTACTAATTATAATAACTAGCGTGGGGCCCGGCCAGTTGGCCGGAAGAAGGTGGTGATATATGAAATTTGAGAATGTAATGGGGTTTATAGCTTATTGTTGTGTAGTTTTTTTGTTTGGAAACACATGATAAAGATAGTGAATTTTAGCAGGAAAGACGCATGGATGATGCAACGAATAAAAAAAATCAGCCTTATGAACCAAGTTCGAGTACCTGTTACCTTGTGAAACAGTATTATTTCGGGTGATATGATGAGGTGGAGTAAATTTTATAGAAATCGAATTCCAGAAAACCGAATAAAAAATCCCCTATAAAATACACTATAATTTAATCATTAGGATATAAAATAATTACATAATATATATTTGAAATTATAAAAATTGGACTAATCAGGTTGGTCGAGGTCGAACCATTTAATAACTTTAAAATACATTATATTTTAGCCACTAATATATAAAATAATAGAATAATATATGTTATGCTAGAGAAAATAGCATGTTTTAGGATGGCAAACCCATGATGTTCATTTGTTTTACTTGAAACTTGATGGTCAAATCCCGTATGAGTCAGGCCCATTCAACTCTTTTATTCTATGGTTAGCGGTTAGCCCATTAGAATCCATGCATTAGTTTATTGTTAAATTTTTGCTTTTTAGCAATAAAAAATGAGTATTGTTTTGCCCTTTCATATATATCTTACCAACACTGAGAAATCAAAATAGCTTAAAAAAAACCCTATATCCCCTAGAAAAAGCTGCTCAGTGCTCACCGGCTCATGGTTCACTTCTCTCTCTCGATCTCAATTATATAGCCGCCGGTAGTCACTTCTCCCCATCCCTGTTTTCTTGTCCTTAATTTTAGCTTTGCAAACCTTTTTTCTGCATGTCATCCTCCCCCCGAACGTCAATTTCCACCCCTCTCGGTCTCTGTTTTTCATTTCTTAATCTTCCATTCTCTTATCACTTGTGTAAACACCCCTCTTTGTATATCTTCGACGCTAGTTTAACGAATAAGAAGAGAAAGCCACCAATCTTTAATAATACTGTATTGTTACAGTGAAGCGATATTGTGGATTTCTTTGTCACTTATCTGTTAGAGCTTACAAATGATGGAAAAAGGGGTGGTTGATTATGATTTGATTAAATGACTCAATCTTTAAATTTTACTTGCATGCAATTTATCACCCTTCTTCATGAGCATGGTTGGATCTTTTTAGTATGCTTGGATTTCTTTTCATAGGGAAGGGATTAGGCGACGGAAGAAGGATTGGGGAAATTATTTTGTAAACAATTATGAAGCTATCTTTCTCTAATTATCTCATTTATTCTCGGCGTTGGTGGAGTCCAGATCTAGCATCGGAACAATCCAAGACTCGGTTACGGTGATCGCTATGGAGGCATGAAACAGATGTGGCCGTGGCTGGAACCTGTTCTGTTTTTGTGGGCCGCAACAATCTCTGGGCCCATTCAAGTCCACACGTATACGGTAAGTTGGCTCGTTCCACAGAGGAAAGAGAAAAAAATTGACACTCCCTATCATACTCTTCCTACAAACGCTCATGGAGTAGGAAATTTGAAATGAGGGAAGAATTTTTTCCTTCATGCTATTATATTATGTGTAGATTGTAGTAATTAGAACCCCACTTTTAAATCTGGAAGCAAGTAAACACTATCACAAAACATCATATTGTAAAAACTTATCTGCAATCATGAGGTTGTTTCACTCAAAATAAACTATGTTTTATATGTTGAAGATCAGTATTATAGCTTGAATAGTTTAATTCGGCAATGATCTCAGCTCTTACATATAAATTTTGTGTAAAAGTGGTATGATTGAAGTTATTCCCTATGTTAACACTAATCAGAATAGTCTTTGTTTACTGAAAACTAACCACCAAAACATTTCAAATCAGAAAAATGATGATACTGAAAAGAAGTATCATAACAAAAGCAACAAAAAGTATAGTTATTTATCTTTAATCAACTAAAAAGTCAACCTAGAAGATCAAACAAATGAACAGCTGTTAAGAGATCATACATTACTATCAAAGAAACTAAATAACCCATCAGTCACTCAACCTCTCCAAGCAAGAACACTCAACCTTTACATATATATCCCTCCGAAAATTGCTTTGTGTAACAATATAGGTGGAGGAGGATAGGCGGTTGTCGAGTCTGATGGGAAGGTTTGGAGAGACGGTGATGGTTGAGCCTTTGGTAGGACGGGAGCCCGGGACACTGTTTATCTTTAATAAACTCAAAAGTCAACCTAGAAGATCAACCAAATGTATTGATGTTAAGAGATCACACATTACTGTCAAAGAAACTAAATAACCCACCAGTCAGCTCTCCAAACAAGAACACTCAATATTTCCATATATACCCCTCTGAAAATTTCTTTGCTTAACAATATAGGTGGTTGTCGAATCCGATGGGAAGGTTTGGAGAGACGACGATGGTTGATCGTTTAATACGTAGGTCGGGACACCATTTAGACCAATTTACATTAGTTGCGGCTTTTCAATCCGCATTCGACAAACCAACACCACTTAACCTTTCCATATTTACCCCTCTCTTAAAGACAATTGTGCCACATATTCACTCAAAACTTCTATGTTCAAAAATATTGTTGCTTTTTGGTAGTTATATTATTTATGTCTGATGTGCAATATTTGCACCAATGACATTAAGCTTGCGATTTTAAAATTATTCTCCTTTTATAAGATAAAGAGAAATAGAATTAATTGTTAAACTCGAATTAAAATAATCAAAGTATGAAAATAGAAGTATCAAATACCAAAAAAATATTTAGGGGAGAGTTAGTGACTTAGCTAACTATGATGTAAAATTCAAATGATTTTTCAGATTTAAGCTTCCTGTATGTTTTTAATTTAAAAAGTTTAAACAAATTTGTTTATTGTAACTGGTTATGTTTCTTGTCTTTTCTCAAAGAGACAAAATTCAAATCCGATCACTTATGTATTTTTCCTGTGAATAAGAAAATAATAAATGACTGTGAACACGAATCTATCCTTCCTACTTTTGCTATGGATGCATGGATTTTGTAATGGGGGAAGCACATTTCCCATTTCACTCTTATATTAGGTGTAGCGAAAGTAACCTGGTGGTTGAGTGTTTAGTGGGTCGGAAACTATTTAGGCATATTTACATTAGTAGCACATTTTCCATTTGCGTTGGGCAAACCAACAACACTCAATCTTTCGATATTTACCCCTCCAAAAATTGCTCTGGCTTAACAATAGAGGTAGAGGAGGTTAGTCGGTTGTTGAGTCTGATGAGAAGTTTGGAGAGACGACGATGGTTGAGCGTTTAGTGGGTCGGGGCACTATTTGGACCCGTTTACATTAGTAGTGTCTTTTCCATCAGCGTTTGGCAAGCCAACATCACTCAACCTTTCCATATTTACCCCTCTCTTAAAGACACATGTGCCTCATATTCACTCAAAAGTTTTGTGTTTAAAAATATCGTTACTTTGGGATAGTTATAACAATTAAGTCTATATTAAGAATTCTACATCGCTTCTACACATTCAAGAGTGCAATTCAATATATGCAATATTTGAATCAATGACATTTCAGTTGCTAACCGTGGTGGAAAAGTCTTATATTTTTCAGATTTAAGCTTCTGTATGTTTTTATTTGAAAAATATCACACAAATGTGTTTATTGTAACTGGTTACGTTTCTTATCTTTGTTCGAAAAGACCACGGTTCAAATCTCATTATTGATGTATTTTTTCTGTAAATAAAAAAATAATAAGTGATTGTGAAGACGAATCTACCCTTCCTACTTTCACTCTGGATGCACGAAATTTGAAATGGGGCTTCAAGTTTTCTCATTTGGCTTTTATTTATTGTGTAGATGTAGAAATGGCATACTTATCCTTATTTATGAACTAAATTACTTTTATATATATTATTTGGCGTCAACTCGGCAGTATGAGGATCATCGACAAGAATTTGATTGCAACGCCAGTAGCAGATGTTGGTTATTTGATATTTATGCTTCAATTGTATCAGTACGTTGAGAAGACACAATTAGAGTGTAGGGTTCATCGACGAAATGTTTAAAAAGAACGGAATAAATATAATAAAAACACATAAGAACACTTTTGACATTCTACTTATGGAACCAAATCATTTTTAGAAGATGGATTACAATGAATATTGTATATGGAGAAAATTAATAAGGGTGTAGTTGAAAACTTTTAATTAATTCAATTCTAAACGTATGCCAAACATGGTTTCGGAATTGAATTCATTTTATTTATAAATATTTGAATATGACATACCAAACACAAGAATTCACTTAACAATAAATTCTACATGGTAATTCATTTTAAAATGAAATGAATTCTCGATTTATTTGGTATCAAACAGTCTGTTAAATTCATGGGTCTCGGGAATTTAAACATTTAAAAAACATTTGGGATTTGAGTTGAGGCATGAGTACAAATTCATGATGGTTTAAAACTATTTTACCTCATAAAATTTATTTTAATACAATTTTTACCAATTTGTTGTCTTTTCTTTGGGAGAGAAATTTGATCGACGACCAATGAAATTATCATTGATCTTGGCAATATAGTGAGAGTAATAGTATTTGTTGACGACCGAGATATGAAATGATTTTTGGAATTTCTTGCACTTTTAAAGTCTTATGAGTTGTGACTAATGATTTTATGAGCTTGCTATAAATTCTTCTAGTATGTTTATTT